GGCCACTACCCGCACGTAAGGGCAGTTGAGCATCCCTCTGTGCCCATCCCAGGGAGCAAGAGTGCGCCAAGGGCTTTTGGGGACAGGTGTAGTGCCAAGAGGGGCAGGCAGCAGCAGACAGAGCCTTTGGAGAGGAGATGCCTGTTGCCAGGATGGGCAGACACTGGTCACAGCAGCCACCTGGCCGAGAGGTGCCCAGGGCAGTGGCGTGCCAGCACCGCTGGGGAAGGCAGTGCCAGCAGGTGAGCCCTCGGCCGGAGCAGCAGCAAGGAGCGGATGTAAGCTGCGGGATGCTGCTGGCAGGGATTTCCTGTAGCTCACGTGATGCCCGGAGCTGCTTGGAGCTGCTTCTGGCACAGATCAGGAAGGTTGGCCTCAGGTCTGCCTGGAGAGCACGGCTCTGCTCTCACCTGACTTGGAGCCAAAAAACGCAGCACGGACCTGGCTGTGCAGCCCCTCGGCACACACCACTGGGCATGTAAACCCTGGCTCTCCCCAGTGAGCACCATGCATCTGCTCTGTCTCACCAGAGGGCAGCAGCAGATCCTTCTCAGCTCCCCTAGACCTGTCCACTGCACCCCACCACACGGCCAGCAATGCTATGACCAGGCTGGGGCGAGGGGTTGCTTCTGCAGCCACGGCCCTGGGTTGGAGCTGCCCCAGGAGGGCAGCACGGTGCCTGAGACAGTCCCACCTCCCCCAGGACTGCTCCTCCTCACATCCTTCCTCTTGCACATGGAAGAGGGCCGTGCCAGCCCAACGGCGCTGGTCTGCGACAACAGACTCATTCAGAAGTATATCGGGGAGGCCAAGGACATGGAGAAGAAAGTGGTGAGGACACAGTTCCCCCCTCCCAAACCCAAGACCAGGGATTGGCAACGGCTCCTGGTATCTCACGTCAGTTTTCCTCTCCCCACTAGGGTCAGTGCCAGGCGCTGCCCACGCTCACCTGGCCCGCAGTGCTGCCCTTGGTGGGCTTCAGGCTCCGGGAGTGGAAATCCAAATCGGTGAGAGAGGCTGGGAGGAGGGCATTGGCACCCACGGGGCTGGAGAAGGAGCCCCTAGGTTGTCACAGGGCATAGCTGGCATCACAGCAGGGGTGGGAAGGCCCCATCCAGACCTAGGGTGGGCAGAGGAACTAAACAGGTCACCCCACGAACTGCCTGCTCCTGCAGAACGAGACCATGTGGCAGGAGATCGGCTGCGACTTGGTGCTGCTGGTGGGCGCTGTTGTGGGGGCCCAGGGTGAGGTGACCCAAGAGTGTGGGGCCAAGCAGCTGAGCCAGCTTCACCGACATGCCAACTTCTTCCTCCGGCACCTGCAGAACTTCAGCTGGGAGGTGAGATCTCCCCCATGTGAGCCAGGTCACCCTGGTGCAGGTACCAGCTGCCTCGGGCTGGGTATGACGGCCTTGTCACCCCTCCTGTCCCATTCTCACCCCTCAGACAGGACCCCAGGAGCCGGGCTGCTCCCCACGCTCTATGGAGCAGACCTATGTCACCAGCATCTTCCTCACCTACCGGAAGCTGTTGCAGGGCAAGCTGCACTTCTTCTGCAGACAAAGCTCACCTCGATCCCACGTCAGCGCAACCCTGCCGGACACTGAGCTGTGCTCTGGGTACCCAGGAAGTTGCCCGCAGGGGAGGGGTTGGCTCCTGCTCCTCAAG